CTAGGATTATAAGTTTTCCTAATAAACGCAGTTCTGAATATTTATTCATTCACCCATGACCGCACGATTGGACAGCCATGTGGGTCACATTTCTAAGCTATGATAAACAACAAAACCCATAGTCCAGCAAAAAGAATGTCCACAACAGAAATCTAATAGTATTATTCCTAAAATTAATAAAAAGACATTCTATAAAGGGTTACCTCTTTAAAAAGCACTTCAATTAGATATTCAGCTGACGAATACCTTTTCCTCAGATAACGTCAAAGTGAAAATGAAGAATTTTGACCACGTTTTTAATTAGTTTGAAAATAATAATACTATCTTGGCAGGAAATGAAAAAAAACTTTTTTCTTTATAATGGAATATTTTGCAACATGTCTGATTATCTTGGGGTCCCGTTCTATCATTGAAAATGCGCAATAATTGCTGATTTTGCAAAAATTGTTAATCTTCTGTTTATTCCGTTTCTAACTTGTGCATAATCAGGAATTGTATTGTACAAAAAAGTATTGTTCCAAATGCCTAGATTCATTAAGATTATTATTAAACTTCATTTACGCGATAATGTATGTGCATTTTCGATGAGGTAAAACAACAAAAAACTGTGTACTGGATTACGGTGTGGGTTAAGGTTAGTAGAATAGGTGAGCTAACTCATGCATAGTCATGATCAGAATGGGAGTTGGCAGTTTACCGTACACTTGATCCCGATATTTTGATCTCATGAGTGGAGTTTATTCCCATTAATCCTGGGGATTAGTGACCATCAACTTGCAGAAGTAGACAGCTTTAAATAGATCGAGGCGAGGCTGCTACCGAATGAGCAGAGCAAGGACGACATTGTCTTCCGCATCCATGCTGTTCGTTGAGGTGGCTCAATCCTCCGAAAGCGCCTATGGATCCGACGCAAGATCTCCATCGCCATGACGATTGGTGTATACTGTGCATCCATCCGGTCAGTCCTCCTCTGTAGATGTAAATGCTGGGCTTTGCGCAAGCCATTCAATAAAGGCGATGAGGTGGTTTGGACACGTTCTCCGTCGTCCGTCCCACGAGCTTTGCTATGCTGTCCACGATCTGGCACCGCAGCCCACCTGAAGGCGTCGAAAAGGAAGGGCAACTGAACACGTGGCTCGACACCGTTCTTCAAGACATGGAAGGAGTGCTTTGACTTTTTATCTTCGGTCTCCGTAGCTGGAGAAGAGACTGGGTGGATCTTTTTAGATCCACTGCCGCCAATCGTCACACGTGGAGAGGTACCGGCCATGGCATCATTGAGGTTGGCTAGATCAGGCACGATCACAGCCGTAACAAATGCAAGTTTAGTACGGGAAACGGCATGTCAGACTCTTGTGTGAAGGATTTTGTAAACTGCATCCGCTTCTCTTTTTCCAAAAAACAATGCACTTTCTCCTACTTGCATTTACCTCATTTTCATAACGCAAAACGACATATTTCGGCCTATGAACAGATGCAGTTTATACCAATGACAGTACAGTACAACACGCATAAACAAAAGGTTTTGATCCGCAGCGTTTTAGAGCGTACGAATTTCATTGCATATCAAAAAAGCTCAGATTTTCCCAAATTCACCCCATTTTTTTTAATACGCCAATTTCGATTGATATGTTTTTTTTCAGGAACTATTATCTTGCGCCTCAAATAAGTTTAATAAACAAAAATCACAGCCTCAAGTGTGCATTCAACTGCTCTCTTTTAATTTTCCGTGATTTAGACAATCTACCATACCTGGACACAGCGGAACTTAATTGTTCGCCTACCAGATCGGCGAAGTACATATATTCATAATATTCCCGATCTCAACCGACAAAGCAAGGAGCCCGTGGTGCTGTGGTGCAGTATTGAACTCAATGACCAAAGGTCCCGGATTCAAATCTCGGGGGTTCCAACCCTTGAGATTGGGTATGACTGGCTAATGACGGCTAAAAAAACAGAAATGGCCATTCCTGTCTCCATTTGCTTTGTCGGATCCATTTCATCATATCATCATAGTCACTATATGACGGTCTGGCGGGTTCACGTTGTGAGCTCCCGGGTAAAGCGGAACTTAATTGTTCCTCAACTAGATCGGCGAAGCACATATATATTCAATCTACTATACATTTATTTTAGAAACAAAAATACAACCGGTAATTTTCAAACTCCAGGGAGGCTTATGAATTCACTTTACTTCGTCAAGTATATTGGGATAAGTGCATGTTTCCACAAAAAGTGTGCACTCTTCTTTCAAATAGGCAAGCTAGGCTTTATACAGTTTCCTGCGAAATGTCGAACGAAACGAGTGTACTGCAAGGTTTTCTAGGAAACATGATTCAGAATGTACACATGGGCAAAGTAGTTAAAGACATACTTCAGGTAAGTGGAGGCATTTTCAGCTGAAAAGAAAATCCGGTTTATTTTTTTTAACGAACCATTTCTTACTTGGATAACTGGTAACGCAAGCAACAAGCGCGAATTCCGTTTTTGTTGATTTGAAGATTAAATGGAGGATTTTGGTATTACAGAGGCGTACGGACATTGTACTAGGCGTTTCCCCTAAATTAACACGAACAATTCAAGAACGGGGGGGTTAATTTCATTCGGCTAAACAGTCTCTCTACAACGGAGAAGTATCCGCCGGTGAGCTGAGGAGAGAAACAATGGCCTAATTGTAAAATCTCACATCACATAAGCGTTTTGCAAGTTAATTAGCATTGCAGGGGTTAATCTAAGCAAGAGTTTGTCTATGCTATCTTATTTGCAAATTGCAGTCACCGTTTACCGATTCTTAAGGTGCAGACATTCTGTACAGCATGGATGAAACGTGTTATCCTCTTTCAGCAAAAATTAGCCTAATTTTTTATCTGAAGTTTGAAGTTACTGGTCCATAGTGCGAAATTTAAATCTCCATGGTAGCAAACTTTGGTGTTGATCAGCTTAAAATATAGGGCAAATGTCAGATTTGCTTAAAAATTCAAGACTTTCCATTTTTAGAAAAGACGCTAAAGGCAAAGCCCTCCTGTCCGGATTGTCATGTTATGGCCTGCTTATTCGGGCAAGACACGTTAATTAGAGGGGAGTGAAAAGCGCATAACATTCTGTATTAATTTATGAGTACCACGTAATTTGTTAACTGGAAGGTATTTTAGTCCTCCTCTTATTTCATGGACAATTAGAGTTCACTGTCAGTGGACCCTTAAATCATCTACGTAAATGGTTTTGCTCATTAAATACTTTTGTCAACATGCTCGCATCCGGTTGGTTTCGAGTATGCTTTCTACAGCCCTGCAAGGGTAAATTTGATTAATGAATGCTGATTTATTGCGCGATAGGGGGATACTAATCTATAGGTCTACGCCGTCAGAATTAATGATGCCTACTAATCCTCCCTGCCAAACCAACATACAGAAGCAATGGTGCTTCCGGCCCAACGATCAGTTAATATTTAGGCATTCTAGCAAAAGTAGTTAAACATAATAATTCAGAAAGGTTTATCGTTTGTGCCTTCACATCCCCTGTCAGTATTATCGTTCTTCGTGTTACAAAATCAGTCATTGAGGAAATCCTTGCAGTAGCAATAATTGCTACCTGTGTGGAGTCCATCTCTTTAGAAGATTGCATAAACAGCAGAATTTATTGGATCCATAAATTTCGAGAGTGCTCATCAGATGCTTTTTCTCGTGGTATAGCGTGAATAACGTAAGGGAAAAAACCAAATTGAACTCGTACGGAAGAGTCGATGCAGATAACAAGGTCATAGACAATGGCCACGAAGGCTAATCAAAAAAGTAAGCAAGTTAAACTCCGTGGGCAGCAAAAGTGGTGTAAAATGTCTAAGGCAGAAAGTTGGGGAGGAAAATCTGTAATCAGGAAGCTCCAGTGGTTAACATAGGTTGGGTTTAAACCACCGTATATGGGCTGCCTCCAGGCAGCGTAAGGTACTAGTTGTTGGTGCCCGTAGAGGTACCCGGAAAGGAGTTTTGGGGTCCACAGAATGGCCCATATCTAGCAAGTGTTCAGTAGTAGATGAACGAATAATTCTATTTTGTTGTTTCAATAGCCAACTAGGCAAGTGCTCTTCGGCTCTGGCTGCCAATTGCCGTTGCGTTCGTCCTAGGCACTTGCGGATGCAAGTGCATGTAAATTCGCCAACAAAATGTGAAGTGGCGTGCACCGCCAAGGCATTCTTTGCACAGGGAATTGGTAGGGGCCTTGTTGGATTGCAGAATATGAGTTCAACAGCAGAATATGTCCTTTCAATGGTGTTAAGCAAGCGTATCTTGATGGTATTG